CTTATGCATTATCCTTGATTCAAAGGTAACTTCCTTCACCATCTCTTTCTACTACGTATTCTAGCTTCATTTTCGCAATTCATTTTTTTAAACTCAAATTCCATGTTTTCTAAAATCTTAAAGTGTTGTTTTGGACCATTTGAGGTCCCAAATTGATTCCGATATTTATTCAACTTTGTGGTATGTGATCCTTACATCAAGGGGAACATAATGATGAAGTTCATTTTTTCGTTTTGTTGTCTAACTTTGAGGGTCAATTTTTTACCCGATTTCATGTCTGAATTTTGTAACATCAATATGGGTATATATAGTTTGTCCCATATTGATGTGTATATTCTGTTTTTGATAGTGTGGCTGCGTTCTGAGGCTCTTCGTACAGGAAAAGCACCAGGGGCGGCTCTACGTAATCGGAGGCCTAAAGCAAAATCTTAATTAGAGGCCTAAAATCTAAATAAACTTCACATGCATTTATTTAAAATTTATTTTTCTTACATTTTTAAATGCAAAGTATTACCTAATATTTTTTTTATATATAAATGATTTATTCGATTTCTTTTTCAATTACTGTATTAGTTTTAAATAAGATTTTATTAATTCAACGTTGAAAAATATTATTTTACTCGGGCAATCATTAGATGAATTGTTAACATAGTTCTACAAGTAATAAGTTGACAAATTTCAAATAAATATAAGAGTTAGAACCATAGCTTTGATGAAGTTGATAATTTGGTTACCCCACATTTTACTATGGTTGTTGTAATGCTTGAAAATCTAAGAAGAAATGGAAAAAGAATTTACAATTCAATTTGTTCAACACTTTTTGACTATTAATTGATATTTTTGACAGAATATTACTCTAACTTATCAACAATTTAAAGAAGAGAGTGTAAAAGGAGTTAAAAAGAAAATAATGTGAGTATTAGTAGAGAGAGTGTAAAAAAATAAAAAAATATTTTCTTGATTTTTTCTATTTGAATTGGGTTGAAGAGAATAAAATAATAATTTTAAATATATACTTTTTATCATAAATAATTAATGTTTTCTTTAAAAAATTAACACATAATTTATTCTTGGTAAAAAATTGAGGCCCCCTAAAATTGGGGCCTAAGGCCAATGCCTTATTTTTGTATACATAGAGCCGGCCCTGAAAAGCACCCGAGTAGAGGTTCAAGTGTAGTTTAAGCCTTGAAATAGGTTATAATTTTCTCATTTTTAGACTTGGGTTAGTAGATTCTATATGAATTGAATAGGATTGATCATTAGAAAGCTTTTAGGATGAGGTTCTAGATTTTATTATCCTTATTTGTATTTTGGCCACTTACATGTTTTTAGCTTAGTATTTTTAGCCGTTAAGCCTTTGATTAAGATTAGCCTTAGTCTTGATTGACGACAATATAGGACTCTTAGAATTCTTCTATGTGGCTTGAAACTTAAGTTTATTCACTTTGGTTGGTTTGGTATGATTGTGTGATTTTCTTTGAGTATGTCTAAGATTTTAATTTATTATTACGATTTATGGGCCCGATACCTTGAACTGGCTAGACTCTGGAGTTTTAGGTTAGTACGACTATAATGTGATAGGTGTATCTCTGGTTGCTTGTGTGGTGTGATTGAATTGGGAATGGATTTACTGTATTTTGGTATGCATTCATGCACATGACATCTACATTTTGACATGTTTTGAACCAGAAAGGACATAAAGTATAACTGAGACACTAAAACAAATTATTATGATTTCTACTCATTTTGGGCTCTATGAGAGCGTGTCACTAATTTTTATTTTTTTAAAATTGGGATTTTGAAAGGAAATGCATCATTTCCTGAGGCTTTTATTCTACAGAGGTACTTATTTTAACTCATCGATTTTCATTTACCGATAAGCTCGAGGAAACACCGTGAGGAGGCCTGAGGAACTATTATGGATTATATTTATTGCATTTCATAAGTTTTCAAGTCTAAGGGATCATTCGGGGCGGCTCAAGGAACTTTGTCGGACTTCTATTTTTATGCATGGTTCACATTTGCATTGCATCATCATGTTATCTATTTGATCACGATTGTCTTGTATTAGTTGTTATGTGCTTATTGTTATTATCTTCACTATCGTGGTTGGTATATCTCTCATTAGCTACTAAGATGTAGTGTTAGCACTATTGTGCCTCTTTGTTTATATAGTCTTTATTGAACTCGATCGGCATATGATGCCTACTTAGCACTCCATATTTTGGTACTCATACTACACTTTTTTTTGTGATGCAGCTCTTAGTAGAAGCCACCCTCGCTAAGTTCAAATATCATGTTGCTATTGTTGATTTGGATTGTAGTGAGCTTTTGATTTTCAGAGATTGTTTTTTTTTTCTTTTTCTATTGTCTATGTATTTTGTTTTGATTAAACAAATTTGATGTATATAGAAATTTTTGTGTTAAGACGCTCTTGTGCCGGTAACACCAGGTTCGGGGTTGGTTCTTGTATATAATTTTTCTTTCTCGGTCACTTTCAAACCCTTTTTTATATATTTTGTATTATTTTATACATGTTTATGCAACAAACCTCTCTTCTTCTTCTTATTGCTTCCGCATAGTTGTATCTTTTGGTATATTCATCGCTCAAAGTTGGGGGTTTTGCCTTGCCTACACGGGGTTTATGGTAGGCACCATCATAATCCTATTTTGGATCATGACATGTAATGAATTGAACTTATGAATTGGTCTTGGTACATTTCATACTTCTTATGATATAGTTATCTAACTCTATCTAAATCAGCCTACGATGCTTACTAAGTACATGTATTATCTTACTTATACTACTTTTTTTCATCTTTTTATGAATATTCTAACACTTGCAGGCCTTGTTGATATTTCGTTCAAAGCAATACTTCTTTGGGAGCTTCGGTGAGTTACTTGGCGTTCAAAGTGATGTCGTACTTCATGTATCTTTACTTTCATGACTTTATTATTTTAGACAACGTTATAATTTTGAGACAATTGTATTCAATTAGATGTTTTTGTACCGGTAACACTTATTTTTGGTGTATTTTGTTACTTTACACATTTTTTTTCTATTCCGTCTGTTTCAAAAAGAGTGATCTAATTTGACTTGACACGAAGTTTAAGAAAATAAAGAAGACTTTTGAATCTTGTGGTCCTAAATTAAAGTTAATGTTAAAATGTATAAAAATTGCCCTTTAATCTTATGGTCTTAAACATGCCACGTGGAAAAACTGAAAGTAAAAATGTTACCAAAAAAGGAAAGAGGTCATTTTTTTTTAAACAAACTAAAAGGAAAGGAGGTTATTCTTTTTTAAACGGGGGGAGTATATTTGAAAGATGGGGTTAAGACTTTAACTTATGCGTTTAATTACTTCTGCGTATCCTTTTAGTTTTCTTTTGGATGGAGGGCTGACTCACCTATTGTTGAATTAGGATAGGTATGACCATGATCTTTCTGAATTTTGGAACGTACAAAAGTGATTTTTTTCTTATAATTGAAAAAGTTTCCTTGCACACTCTATTTAAGAAACTTAACACCGAAAACTATATTTTTTTTCAAGAAAACATCGCCCTTCATACTAGACCCGTGAAAGGAAAAAAAAAAGAAAAAATTATACCTTTGCCTTGATTAAAGAAATAAAACAATAAATATATAAGTCAACGAAAAATTATTTGTACGACAAATACTTATTTTAACCCTTGAGTTATATGTATATTTCAGTTTTGACCCATGTATAATTCGACTATGTATCATTTGCCTTCAAATAATATAAATGTCATGATCCAGACCGTCGTGATTGGCACCCACACTAACCCTCCGGTGTTAATACTAATTAGCTAACCCAAGAACCACTACTACTACAAAGGACTTTAGCGGCAATAACAATAGTCACTATATATTTTACCGGCAATTGGTCTTTGGCCGGCGATGCGGGCTTCGACAAAGGTTGTTGCGGCCATTGGTCGAAAAGCTGGTAAAGTCTGCTATTTATTGCCGCTATTAATTATTCATTTTCACGGCAATTGTTTGCGGCAATTATATTGGCTACTAAATCTAATTCATAATGGCTAACTATGCTCTTTTAGTGTCTATTTTTATATTTGATAAACGTCTTAGTTTTCCCTTTTAGCGTTTATTTAAATGGAAAGTAAATTCAACTAAATTGCCGCTAATAGTCAACATCTTTAACGACCATTAGATTATAAAGTATATAATATTTCATGTGAAAATATCTTAAATGTCCCCTATACCATCCATATTATTGTTGATAAATTATATAGAAAATTATGGTAAAAGTCACAAGATTCAATAACAATTGCTTAGCCACCAGTAAATCCAACAACATTATTAGTACAACAGAGCTTTAGTGGCAATAAAATTTGGAAAATGCTAAAAAAAAATTACTATTCATTCATAAAATAGAGTATATCACATTAAATCCAAACAAACAAAAGAAAGTATTAATCCAAAAGATTAACGTGAACATAAAATATAAACTTCTAGTGTTTGAGCATGTAAACAATCATGTTGAATAATATCTTCAAATAATTTCCTGAACTCTTCATATTGAAAGCTTTCACATGTGGATTTTTTGAACCTAAAATTGTATAACCTGAAATAATAAAATAAATATGTCAAAAGATGAAATGCAATGTATAAAAATATGAAATATCAAAGTAATATAATACATGGGAATCCTAGGTTGAGTACTAGGACAATTAGTAAGAGAATAAACTGAACTATTACTTACGAGAATTAAAGAAAAAAAGAGAGGAAAAAGATCTCCAACATACATATCCAAAGTTAACATATAACAATAACATATCCCCTAGAAATTACCAGAAGATGGAGAACATTCAGCAACACTTGATATCCTTGGTGTTTGTGAAACACGTTCATGACAACTATAGGTGTTAGGGACATGATGAATATTTGTTGATGACAAACATGCATGAATAAAAAAGGACTTAAAAATATTATAATTTATAATTTTAACAAGTTTACCTGCTCATCTATCTAGGTAACAATATTTTTGAATCGTCCTATTTGAGACATCTTGTGCTTGGCCCTATTATTTTTGTTTGCTTGGGTACATCTCTGCCACTGAAAATTGAATCATTGACATGATATCTTAAAGTTATAAATAAAAATTGAGCATAACTAAAATCAAAATACTATGAAAAAAGGAATTAGGAGTATAATTTAAACATTTTTTGAACCCTTATTTTTATTAGAAAGCCAATAAGAGACAGTACAACTTCATTGCTTCCTCAGTATGCAACTTGGTCTATTATTTAGCAGAGCATCTTTAGTCTTATACTTTGACATATAATCCACCTTTTAAATCGCATTTGTAATCTTTCCATTTCTTTCCTTGTAAAATTTAAGATAAACACGTATCCATGCTTTGGGACATAAAATTTCTTCTGCAAAAATTATATGTCAACAATTACAAGATATCATGTATTACAGAGAAACGGATAGTTGATTTTAGGTAAAGCAATAAATCTGCTCTCGATTACTTCAGCAAAAGTTGCATCTCCTAGCATATTCAAAGTGCATCTCATGACACCCTAATTTAACATAATACCTCCAGAAGTTTAATTAACTACATCATCTACTTGAGTTTGATCCTATACAATCCCAAAGGTAACAAAAAAGGATCTAGTTCTCTATATTCACCAAGAAACAAAGTAATATCAACTGATTCGAAGTCTCAACCAACACATATGCTAAAGGGAAGTAAACTGGCTCAAATCCAGGAGGAGCTATTCGCAGAAGGTGTAATGAAGGACATAGAAACTGAAAAAATATTTCTATTTGAGGACACAACTCACACAGTGAAAAATCTCTTTTAAACTCTCTGAACGGCACAGTGGCAAAATTTTGCCTTTGATTCTCAAATGCATTGACATACTTTCCCCAAAAGGGATCCTACTTAGTTCACTCAGATCGTGAACATTAGTTAAAAATCAAATCTCTACCAAAGCAACTAGATACAAATATGTTTTATTTTTCATTTCCTTTCCCCTCCATAAGTTGAGATCAACACTTGTTTACCATCATAGTTTGTCTGTGAAAGGCTTCATGCCTTGAATTGAGAACAACAATGGTTCATTACTGCTAAGCTCATCATATCTGGAAAATAGAAGTGACTATACTATGTGAGACATATGCTTGAAGTGACCTTTGCAGATTCACAATATCACATTTTCTTGAAAGTTATACTTATATCTACATGCAGTCCTAATTTTCATTCCATACTATTAAAAAGAACTTGTACATATATACCATTAGTGATAATCTTTTAGCAACATTTTCAGCCCCACATGGTAACTAGAATAGCACAAGAATAGGGGAAACTCTCATCCAACATATTTTTTTTCGTTTGCATGCGAGCTGTTGACCAACGTATAGAAGTTGAAAGTTTATGGCAAATACCTAAAACTATATATCTCATTTTTGTTTTTCCTCTAGATATCCAAAGACTTATCAATGAAAGGAAGAAACACATCTTATTCCTCTCGTATATCTGAATTTCAATAGGGAAAACTTATAAATGAGATTTTTTTTTCTTAACAATAAAATATAACTCAAGATCTTTAATATCCTTCAATCATTTCTAAATCAAAATAAACAACAATCTCGTGGCATTGTTTAAAACAGAGAACAAATAAGAGAGTTAAATATGAAGCTCTTGTATATAATAGATTAGATAAGAAGAAAAATTATATTACCTGATTCGACCTTATGTTGAACATTAGTGCCACAAACAGAACTATTAAACTCATTATATTAACCATCATGTGCTTGGGTTTCAGTGAGATTCTAACTATTTATCAACTGATCAATATAAGGTTCAGCTCGAGAGTAGTTCAGGCAACCCATCGATTTCTCAATATGCTATCACATATCCTCTTCATCGCGTTGTTGAATTTCCAATCTGTTGCGACCTCTAATTTTCATAGTTCCATATCCAAAATGATCTAATTATCTAGCTGCATTAAGTTGTAATAGTACCAAATTAACATCGCACATGTAAAACTGGAGGAAACATCATCCTCATCTGAAGATGTTAGAACGTATATTGATGCACCATGGAAGAATCATCCTCAACTTGTATGACATGTGTATTTTAACACATTTTGTTACGTGTATGCTAAAAATCATACAATTAGGCCTGATATCTAGATAATATGTAACAAGATTCTATCCCTCATAAGAAAAGAACTAAGCAAACTAGAAAATGGAGAAGAAGCCGACGAAACAAGAGACAAAATAAAGCAACATAAATAAACCTTGAGTTGATACTATAAGTGGCAAACAAATAACTCAAACAAACGAGTATACCTGTTAGTACCCCTTCATTTTTTATAGACATATCGATCCATTTTAAACATTCTCAATTATCATTGAAACAAATAACACTTGCTGCAAGATATTGTTCGTAGCTTAAGAACAGAACTCACAACAACTTTGTTCTAAAACAACAATGGTGTGCATCAAATTTTGCCCCAAATCCTTATCAAATTCATGATAATATAAGAAAGAAACACTTTAACACTGCATTGTCACGTGTGTGCCCTTAACTATATCAAACGCTGAATAGCAAAAATATTAAACAAAGTAATTAATATATAGTTAACAAAATTGTTAACATCATTATGCCTATGATTAGTATCTTTATCTTACAATATTAGGATTTAGAGGGTAGATAAATGATCTAGGAAGAGTTATAAGTGTATGTGCAACGGATGATAGTTTATTAAGTGTTCATATACTCTCTATACCTTTGTATATGAATCAAAAGAATCATGTAAAGCTCAATAAATTCATAAATCTCAAAAAGTAGTTCAAGAGTTCTTCCTTGTTCTTGAGAAACTAGTAAACCACTACAAAATATTATCCATATCTCTCTGTACAATACAAGCCAACAAACACCCTATGGTACTTAATTTTTTTTACATATCTGATAAATTAATAAATAAATACATAAAATTTTCAGTATTCACTCTAAAGTAGTATAAAAATACAGTAAGAAAACAGTCAGATTACAAACTTCAGTGCAACTCTAGGAATATGTCTTCGTTACTGTAACTGAAACTTCAATATCATGAGGTGAGAATGGTGATCAAACAAAGACAAAAATTTTGTACAGGGAATAACATATTGACATGAAAGTCTAATATCGAATAAACGAAATCTGTAAAATTCTTATTGTTAAATGGTGATGTTGCACTCACATTCATATCCTACAGATCATGGGAACCCTTTAAATAATATTTTCTAATGTTGAATTCCAACCATGGTTACTCCAAAATGCTACAACTGGAGGATGTGCCAAAACTCCTTTTTGAGGTGCCCATTTCACAATACGACGGATACATAAGAGAGAATATTAAACAAGAAAAATCACAATTTTAATTCGATTCAATGAGGTGACGTAATAAACTTAGATCTTACATGCTAACAACCGTCCTTCATGGTGTACAAAATTCAATTCAATTTCAGATAAAAAGAGTAAAATAGAATAGATGTGTGTGTTACCAGGGACTGGTGCTCGACGATAACAAAGGAGATTACAAAAACGTAGATAGAGATGATTTTCGGTAGTGTGAAGATGCAGCGGTGATGGAGATCAAATTTTGTCTTTTAGGATTTAGGGAACCACTCTAATTTTCTTTGGAGGGAATTGGTATTTTGTTTGAAAAAACATACTTAAAATAACAACAAATATTTTTTAATAAGTGGTGTTTAGTGGTCATCACATTTTATTGTCGGTATAAAAATACCTTTTCCAGGACAATATCTATTAGTCAGTAATATTTCACCGTAAAGAACAAATTAGTGGCCATTAAATTATGGACACTATAAATTTGTCGGTAAACCCCCTTATTGTAGTAGTGAACTAAACATTTAAAGATACGGAATCAGGTTTAAATGTCTAAAGAAAAGGAAAATAGGGAGTTCCCATAAACTCCAAAAAGTCTACCAAACAAATGCGGAAATAATGCCTAGAACCTGAAAGTTAATGTACCAAAATATCTACTAATGACAAGTCTAACAAAATGGGTGCAACCCTAAACTAAGCATAAGAATATCTAATGTACTAGTCTAAGTCTGAATAGAAATGGACTAAACATAACGACAACTCATGGCAGCCTAGAAGAACTGACTCACCCTTGAATTCGAATTTATCACTGGTCTTCTAAACGAGATATGTCAGTAGCCGCCTAAAGATGCCATGTACTCAATAAAGAAAGAGCAAGTGCAGTATCAGTACACAACCGCAATGTACTGGTAGGATCATGCGGCTATCCCAATAAGTGAAACATATATAAGTAATAACATCAAAATAAACAGGCATATACTGAACATATATAATATCAGTCATCATATCAGGATCAACGAGAAATTCCACATTCTCAAAATACATCTATATGGCAAGTCAATGGTCCTCTCATGGAACCCACACCCAAACTGTTAGTGTACAGGTACGTGGTACCCGATCTCATATATGCGTCGGAACATGGCACCTGATCCAAGTTAGTATGTTGGAACGTAACACTCGATCCATTCAACAAGCCACAATCACAATCACAATGTACATTCTCATAATAATACAATCAAGTGTTGATTCATGGCATATCATCATTCTTTCATACTCATTTACGATTAGTGTGATCAATAGTGCAACATTCGCATACATACATTCATTATAATGAAGTAATTACTAGCATAAATTCACACAAACATGAGATCACAACCATCACCTACCTCGAACAAAACCCTGCTAAGAAACTTGGTTCTTCCCTCTCCAGATTCTTTCCGCTTGCTCTAGGTCTACAAATAAATAATTCAATACGGAGATCAATAATTAAGGTCTAATTTACCCAGATTATGACAAACCCACCCAATAACCCAAGATTCAAATATGATCCTAAGGTGCAGCTAGAGCTTTTCCCACCATCCAAAACCATTCAAAACCCTCCCCCAACGATATGCAATCAAGATTTTACGTTCTATGGATCGAAAGACGGAATTGAGGAGCGAAAACCTTACCTTTATCATCAAGAATGGTGAAAACTGTCAAGAATCGCCTGGGGTCATCTCATATCTCTCAAAAATGAATTTTGCAAAATAATGGCATTTTTGGGGTTTATTTCCGACTTAATTCGCGACTGGCCCGCTATGGCAGCCCCGCATTGGCGGGAAAATCCCACCTTAGTGGCTTGCACGAAAACATAGAGCTAAATTAAGAGTTTCAAACCCCCATTTCACAACACACCTTCATCCCATGACACTCAGAAACTACCCATTCACGCTAAGATCAGTTTTGAGAGTTTTACTCACCTGAATTTGATTTCGTAAAGTCGTACCGGTTCCTTAACATCTTAGTTATCCACTCATGCAATCAAATTCCTTATTAGATCTCTAATTTATTACCAAATCTCCCTAGACCTCACTAACTCTGATTTCGTCCAAATCTGGACTAGGCTAGGAAATTTCATGTTACTACGAAAAAGTTTTTCCGCCCAAAAATTTCCCCATATGGTTTTTCTATAACGATGGGACAAGTCGTTACAATAGATACCAATTTACCTATTACTCGTCTCTGAGTGACAAACTTAGGAAAACAGGCTAAAGTAAGAATGAAATAGTACCTGAATTAACGAACAACTGGGATATTTGTCTCGCATGTCCTTCTCGGTTTCCCAAGTAGCTTCCTTAACTGGACGATGTTTCCATTGAACTTTCACGGACTTAATCTTTTTGGTCCTCAGCTTCCGGACATCTCGATCAAGAATTGCAATCGGTTCCTCCTCATACTGAAGGTCCTTGTCTAGCAATACTGAGTCCCATTTTATGATATAATTCCTGTCACCATGACAGCTCTTCAACATGGACACATGAAATATCGGATGAACTTCCGATAGACTAGGTGGTAAAGCCAATCTATACGCCACTGGCCCTACACAATCAAAAATCTCAAATGGACCAATGTAACGAGGACTAAGTTTTCCCTTCTTGCTAAATCTCATCACCCCTTTCATGTGTGATACCTTAAGAAGAACCTTCTCACCCATCTGAAATGCCATTTCTCTTACCTTATGGTTCGTATACTTTTTCTGTCTACTCTAGGCTGCTAAAAGCTTAGCTTGAATACTCCTCACTTTCTCTTGAGCATCCTTCACTAAATCAACCCCCAAAGGTTTCACATCTCCAACCTCAAACCATCCTATGGGTGATCTACATCCCCTCCCATAGAGTACCTCAAACGGTGCCATATCTATGCCGGAGTGATAACTATTACTATAGGAGAACTCATACAACGATAGGAACTTATCCCAATGCCCTCCAAAGTCAATCACACATGCCCTCAATATGTCTTCTAACACTTGAATAGTCCTCTCTGACTGTCCGTCCGTCTGTGGATGGAAAGCTGGACTAAAAGTGAGTTGTGTGCCCAATTCATCATGTAATTTCCTTCAAAACTTGAATGTGAACTGCGTACCACGGTCTGAGATGATAGAAAGGGGCACCACATGCAGCCTTACTATCTCCTTTACATAAACTTTAGCCAATTATTGAGCATTATAATATATTATGATTGGAATAAAATGGGCGACTTAGTCAATCGGTCAACCACAACCCAAATAGAATCAAATTTTCCCAAAGTCTTGGGAAGACCAACCAAGAAGTCCATAGCTATTTGTTCCCACTTCCATTTCGAAATTGACATTCTCTAAAGCAAACCAGCAGGCCTTTGGTGTTCATACTTCACTTGTTGGCAATTTTGACACTTAGCCACAAACTCCGCTATATACTTCTTCATGCTAGGCCACCAATAAAGTTGCTTCAAACCTTGGTACATCTTGGTCACACCCGGATGAATGGAATATCGCAAACAATCAGATTCTGTCAACAATTTCTGAATCAAGTCATCCATTCGAGGAACACAAATCCTTCTTTTAAAAATAGCACACCCTCCGCATCAAAAGTGGTCTCTTGTGATTTGACAGATGTTGTCTTCTTTCTAAGCTCATTCAAACTGTCATCCTCAAACTGTTTGTCCTTGATCTCCTCAATGAACGTGGCCCTTACTTCAATGCTTGCTAACACCCTACCTTTCTCTGAGATGCCCAACTGCATGAACTTAGACTCCAAGGTCTGAATTTCCTTAGTCAAAGGTTGCTTGGATACACTCAAGCAAGCTAGATTACCCATACTCACCGCCTTCCGACTTAGCGCGTCTGCTACCACATTAGCCTTGCCCGGATGATACTGGATGGTCACATCATAATCCTTGAGTAACTCCATCCACCTTCGTTGTCTCAAATTCAGATCCTTTTGAGTGAACACATGCTGCAAACTACGATGATCAGTAAACACCTCACACTTGACGCCATAGAGGTAATGCCGTCAGATCTTAAGAGCAAACACTGTCGCTACCAACTCTAAATCATGTGTTGGGTAATTTCTGTTATGCACCTTCAACTTCCGTGATGCATAAGCTATAACATTCTTATCATGCATTAACACAACACCCAAACCCGAATGTTAAGCATCACAATAAACAATAAAATCTTTACCTTCCACCGATAGTGCTAGAATAGGCATTGTGGTAAAAAAAGTCTTGAGCTTTTGAAAGCTCTCTTCACATTTTTCAGCCCATTCAAAAGGTACCTCCTTTTTGGTCAACCTTGTCAGATGCATGGCAATAGAAGCAAAGTTTTTCACAAATCGACGATAGTAGTTAGCAAGCCCCACAAAACTCCTAACTTCCGTCACTGAGCTGGGCCGAACCTAATTTTTAACCGCTTCAATCATTTGGGAATCTACCATTACCCATTCTTTTGAAACTACATGCCCAAAAAGGCAACCGAAGTCAACTAAAATTCACACTTAGAAAATTTCGCATACAACTTTTATTTCCCAAGAACACATAGAACAATATGATGATGGCCGACATGCTCTTCCTTACTTTTTTAATAGACCAAAATGTCATTAATGAAGACAATAACAAACGAATCAAGAAATGGCTTAAACACACCATTCATCAAACTCATGAAAGTTGCAGGCGCATTAGTCAACCCAAACGACATAACTAGAAACTCGTAGTGCCCATAGTGGGTCCTAAATGTCGTTTTGGGTACATCTTCAGGCCTAATCTTTAACTGATTCTATCTTAGAGAAGACTGACGCACCTTGCAATTGGTCGAAAAGATCATATATCTGAGGTAATGAGTACTTGTTTCGAATGGTGACCCTATTAAATTACCGGTAATCTATGCACATCCTCATACTACCATATTTTTTCTTAACAAATAAGACAGGATCACCCCACGGTGAAGCACTAGGACGGATAAAACCTTTATCAAGGAGTTTTTAGCTCTCTCAATTCTACCGTGGCCATGCGATAAGGATGGATGGAAATGGGGCGGGTACCAGGTTCCAAATCAATGCAGAAATCTATATATCTATCCGGAGGCATACTAGGCAAAGCAGTAGGGAACACTTCTCTAAATTCTGACACCACATGAATAGACTCAATATCAAAATCTCGAATATGAGCCAAATACGTCAAACAACCCTGCCCCACCACAATGTAATGGTAGGATCGCGCGACTATTCCAATAAGTGAAACATATACAAGTAATAACATCAAAATAAATAGGCATATACC